AGCAGGCAGGACTGGCCTAGGGGTATTTTAAAGGGGTTTTAAATTAAATTTTTAGTAGAAGCGGCCAAATTTAAATAGTTATTTTTAATCTTTTTAAATTTTGTATTGTATCATTGTTTTAAACTGGCTGTAAGCCGCCCTGAGTCCTCCGGGAGAAGGGCGGGGTATAAATTTAATAAAATCAAAATCAAAATCAAAAATCATCAAGGTACAACTTGCTGCAGGACAATTTAACAATTCACTTTCATTATTTAAAATAATTTAAAAAAATATTTTAATTTCTGTCATTCACATTTCATTTTGTCCCTCCTTTGGCATCCTTTCTTTCATGATCCCATTCTACATTTCTTCGGTATTAGTGTAACTAGTTGGCTGTGGTGAGTTGTCGTAGATCCTGCTGAGCTCCTGCTCAAATTTTTTTGCAAAATAGTTGGCTAATGTTCATTACCACATGTACAGAAGTACATACACAGAACAGCTTACGAAGTACTCTCCCCCCCAAACTATGTGCAGCTTCCATTTTGTGATTATGTAAACTTTTCCTTCAGCTTCTGGTCCAGCTGACTGACTGTGGCATCTACCTTGCCTTTGATCTGGGACTTTATCTTAGCTGTGTGGTTATTTTTACTTGTTGATGGTTCTTGGATTTAAGTATTTATTAGTATTCCATTTCTCTGTTTTCTTTTTTGTTTGATGTTATATGCTTCCCGGGATTTGATGTTATATGCCTTCTTTTGGATTGGTGTGAGTTATAAAAACATTTAAAAAAATAAAAATAGAAAAATGCTTGTCACCCAATTCAGATTCTTTTCTATTGGGATGCACGTGTTACTTATTTCCAAAAATTATTCTACATTCATTTAATTTTAATAGGTTAAAATCCCTATGGGGTTAGTTTATGTCCCAGTTTTAATTATCTTTTTAAAATGCAATTCCAGAGGAAAACCCTGAAAAGTATAGTTTATTTTAAAGAGGTAAATATCACATTGTGAAACAAGTTTCACCGGACTAATGAGATTTCTTCACTGTTCAGTTTTCATATCAGGAGAAATCTTGGTGTATTCTCAATGTTTGAAAATCACTGGTCTTAAGTAGCTCATTTTATTCCCTAGGCCTATAATGGTCACCATCAAGCATTAGAGGTGCTGCTTCAGTCATTAGTAGATCTGGATATCAGAGATGAAAAAGGACGTACTGCCCTGGACCTTGCTGCATTTAAAGGACACATGGAATGTGTTGAAGTGCTCATCAGTCAGGGTGCTTCTGTCACAGTGAAAGATAACATCACACAACGAACCCCACTCCATGCCTCAGGTAGGTGAGATGCTATTATTTTGAGACACTGACTACAGTTAAAAAGAACAGTATGTAGAAAAGCTCATGGGGATATCGGCTATGACAAAGTTTGGATTCTTTTTAAACAGAAAAGCCTCTTACCTCCTTAGTAGTGGGAGATAACTGCAGCAAAAATTGCAAACTGTAGTTTACATCTATTCCCATTGGTATGCTAGGTTCATTTTGTGTATTGTATGACCTCAGAGTTCTACATAATAATTCAAGTTGAAGAGAGAAACAAATTATAGCCGTTTTAGAAAATTACTATTTCACGTGAGTTCTTCATGAATAAGAAAATATAATAAGAGTGAAAATCTCTAAAATTTGTTTCCCCTGTAAATCCTCCTTCTTTGTTAATGAGCTATGCTCAAAATGAATTTTTACTAAATCTCCAAAAATAAAGAAATAAAGTAAGCACAACTTCTTACAGCTAGTCTTTGATTTACTGCTACAATTGGAACTGGAATTTCCATCACTAAGCGATACGGCCGATAAGTGAGTAATCCCATGATTGTGCCATAGACATTAAGTTAATAACTCTGGTCATTAAGTGAGTCACACTGTCGTTGAACAAATCTAGTTTTTCCCATTCACTTTACTTATTGGAAGCCAGCTGAGAAAGTCATAAGTGGTGATCATGTGACCCCAGGACCCTGCAACCGTCATAAATATGTGCCTTTTGCCTAGCGCCTGGATTGTGCTTACATGAGCATGGGGACACTACAATTGTAAGTGTGAGGACCAATTGTAAGTCACTTTTTTAGTGTCACTGTAATGTCAGATGATCGCTAAATAAATGGTTGTTAAAGGACTACCTGTATTCCCAAAACAGAGAAGGTGTGTGATCAGACATCTATAGTGAATCATGATCCTTGAATCTTATTACCAGTTCATCAAATTATCATGATTTATTGCAGGGTTGAGTAGTAATGGCTTTACAGATCTTCTGACACTTAGTTGTGCATGATCATTTTGTCCAACCAAACAGTACCCCAACACTTCATAAATATATCACTGAAATGAAGAAAGCTTAACATAACCAAAATTGGATTGGCCTGTGAAGTTCCACTCAAGTTCTAGTCCTTAGAACAAATTCCTGGGTTCAGAATTCTGCCTTACCTGAACCAGGCTCCGGTTGGTGATCTCAGCGTACTGTGAATTAGAGGTGACAAATCTGTTTCTCTGACTTGTACTTCCGGTTAGGCATTTTGAATTTAGATCAACTCATCTGTAATTGGATATACCTACTTAATTTTCCTTATGTCATAGTTTAGAATTGATGATATCTATAGCTGTTTCTCCATTAGTTTTAGAGTAGTTAACAAATAAACCAAGTACTATATAATATTTTGCATTGAAATGATGCATTATCTTAGCATAGCCTGATAGAGACCTCTGTTGGCTGAATATAGGTTTACATTGTCCACCAATAACAGTTGAAGCAGGCCATATTTGACTGTAATTAGATAGGATTTCTTTATAGTAGAAACTCAAAATTGCTGCTGCTGCTACTTGCCATATGTCTTTGGGTGCTACTGCAGTGTTGAAAACAATCTTGAAAAATATAATGCACATACAAAAATCTGAACGTCGTTTCTCAACTCTATATTTTCTCATCCCATCAAAGAAAATATGTATTTGGCTCTTCTTCCTATGATAGTCAATATTTTTGGAGAATAAGATTAAATAATTGAAATATTAATGAATATGAATTAAATCACCAAAATTCATATCTTAATTTACTTCTTATATTAGAAGATGAACTTCAGGGATGAGTATATAGGGATACATTTTTTCCTTGATGGATTATTCACAGACATTTTCTCCTAAATATTACTTGATATAAGTTTGACTCCTTCATGGCTTTTATTTGAAAAAACATTTAAAGTATGTCTTTCCCCTTTATAGTCATCAATGGGCATACATCATGTCTACGACTTTTATTAGAAGTAACAGATAACCCTGATGTAGTGGATGCCAAAGGACAGTAAGTTTGTTTCATTTTGACGCTTATAATTTGAGTGACCTTGAGAACATTTTAGGCAGTAACATTTAGATATCAATCGTGGCTATGTCCTCATTCAAGGATGTTCAGAAGTTAATTTAATATCTTCAGATTAAGATAAGGATAGGCTCCCCATGCCATGGCTAGCCAGTTAATGGTGCTGCTATCAGCTCTTCAGCTAATAACACTGGAGGCAAAGAGGAGAAAAGCAGTTGGACACAAGAGTTACAGCTGTAAGAAACTGGTGACGAAGAACAAGAATCATGGTTAAGTCTGTATGAGGCAAGAAATAGAAGAAGCAAATTTGCAGCAACCCTAAGGAAATGAAATTACAGTTAGTGTTGCACTGCCAATGTATGTTCAATAGATGTTTTTTCTGGGATTTCTGCTATAGAAAGCATTCCACCCCATGCCAGATGCCAGACATGTGTTCTTTATTTTACATCTTAGACCAGGGTCTTCAAACTTGGCCCTTTTATGACTTGTGGACTTCAACTCCCGGAATTCCTCAGTCAGCATGCATGATTCCCCTCAGAACATCCAGCTGTAAATTGCTGAAGGGCAGAAAACATTTTTTTCTTCTAGATTTTATAAACTGACTCTGATAATACTGCAGTGTGACAAAGAATTAAAATCCAGAGGCTGGTTCATAAATATAGCTATATGTTATGGACAATAGGATAGAATAAAAGTACCACAACTTTTTATCCCTTCGTTTTTTCCCATAATGGACAAATTCGAAATGGGCAAATTCCCCAATAGATATGGGAAAATGTTTCCACATAAACCTTTTTATGTAGACTCTGGCCTATTCCATAAATTGAACTTTACATTTATTTTTTTCAATAATAAGGTTAAGAATTAAGCATAACATTTTACAAAGAAACGATTCAGTGATAATATGGAGACTTTTTAAATGCAGTCTCATTTCAAATAAAAATCTTAGCTACATACAATGGTTTTATTTACTATCATTAACTATAGTTTTATTTACAATATGTATAGTGTTACTACTATGTTTTTAATTTTTTTTAATTAATGGTAGTGGGAGACATGTCTGGGATAGAAATTTAACATGCTGTTTTATTTCCATAATTGAAGGTTGGATTGGTGTCTATTCCTTTTCATGTTCTTTTTAGAGTTAAGAATATCCAAACAGAAACAATTAATTTAAGAGACGCAGCACTAGGTAAAGAAATAAACATTTGCTGCTCATTTTTAGATAATGGACAAAGATTGAATATTAATGCTTCATGAACCTCCAGTATTATTGAATCTAGCTACCTCTGGCAACATGGAGAGTAACTAATGAATATTACAATGTTTGGAGAAGTGGCAAATACTTTTGGATAATACATCGAGTAAAGTCACAAATCCAGGAATATATGATGATAGTTATGGGCCTCTCATTTTTTAGAACTCCACTGATGCTAGCTGTGGCTTATGGGCACATAGACGCTGTTTCTTTGTTACTTGAAAAAGAGGCATCCGTTGATGCAGCTGATATCCTGGGATGTACTGCTTTACATCGAGGGGTAATTTCTCATTTTATCCTGTATTTCTGCTGTATTTTTTTCAATTGCACATATGCCTAATAATAGTAGAGAAGAATACAGAACGCTAAAGCTGACTTTGATTCTAACATATATCATGCAAGCCTCTGAATGCAAGCTGCTTAGGACCAGCAACAATGACCTGGAAGCTGATGGATAGCCTTTGCTGGAAACTGCTCTATTAGATGCCTAAATTAGTCCTTAATTATTTTTTTTTAAAAGCAGTGTTTTATAAAAGAATGTTATAATATGTATCCTAATTGGAGAAGAAAATATGACAAAAGCTGTGCAGTACACAGCTATATAGCACTACCCTGGAGAGAGAGATTGGTCATACTATTTAGAGTTAAATATATGTTGGAGTTGGGGAAAGTACCAGAAAAATGCCTTTCTGGAGATGCAATCAAGTTTTTTAGATAGAGAGGCAGAATTTTGGTAATCCAAATTTTAATTACTTATTATGAAGGCTTTAAGGTTTTATGATGATCAGAAGAAAGACAATTCTTTTTTGAGGGGGCTGTGCTCATAGTTTTACACATCGGATTTGTCAAAAATCCTTCACACATAGCATAGTGGATTCATAGTAAGATTGTATATGCCTACTGACATATGTCAGTGCTTTATTTAGCATATCTAATCTAAGTTCCTCTATTTTTCAAACTTAAATAATGAAATACTTGGAACATGTTTTTCAATGATGCCTCATTCTTGTATTTATTTAATCATTTTTTTCAAGTAGCCCAATTTTAAATTTTTCTTATATTTCCAAGAATGCACAGGGAAAATTTAAAATAATTCCTAGCAGTGCACCATCACCATAAACACCTTATATTGGCTCTTGTGGATGTTTACTGAAAATGTCATTACTCCCAGCATGCTTGGAACACTTTTTAAATTTGTTGTGTTTGTACTGATAGTGATAGGAGCTCTTGGTCTGGAGGTCTGGAAGGAACCCTGATGCATATTTTTATAAAGAACACTAAAATTATTTCCTTTCATTAAACTTTTAGAGAAGACAGAATCCATTGTCCATGTTTCCATATATGCAAGTTACTAAAAAATCTTTGTCACTGACTGCCCAAGTAGAACATGTTTATTTCAGAAACAACCCCAAACGTTATCATTAATATTTCAAACAAGCTTTTTCAGTTACTACAAAAATAATAATAATCAGTTTTTGTTTATATTTATTTGGGATTGTTGATTATCTTGCGTAGCTTTATGAGATGAAAGGCATATTTTATTAAAATGAATCTAATTTTTAATTTTTATTTGAAAAAGATTATGACAGGGCATGAGGAATGCATTCAAATGCTGTTGGAACAAGAAGTATTAATTCTATGTAAGGATGCCAGAGGCAGGACACCTCTACATTATGCAGCAGCTCGTGGTCATGCCACATGGCTGAGTGAATTAATGCAGATGGCACTTTCAGAAGACTACAATTTTAAAGATAATCAGAATTATACACCATTGCACTGGGCTTCATATAACGGTAATCTTTTATGTCAAGCAGATATTTATTGCTGGCTATTAAGTTTGGTATGGGAAACTGCATGCAAAGAGAGATTACAGAGCTTCTAAAATAAAAGGTATCTTGTTGTAAATTATTAGAGATTTGGCACCATTCCCAGATCAACGCCATGTCTTTATGATCCACAGTGTCTCCATTTGACAACTGACCCAATTTCTTGCGAATGGTCCAGTTTTCAATCTGACACTCTGAAGCTCTAAGCTGTTTTTCAGTTGGTCAGAATTTCCCTTTCCCTGCCACTGTGTTGCAATACAGCAAGTCTCCAGGTTAAGAATGCCCCAGTTTAAGGATGACCTTTAATTAAGTTAAATATACAGTGATTCAAGTTAAATTCACAATAGTTCAATTCATTACACCATACTACTTAGACAGTATTATACAATAATGTTGTCCTGGCTTACATACAAATTTGACTTAAGGACAGACCTTGGAAATGGAACTCATTCTTAAACTGGGAACTATCTGTGTTTTGAACATATTGATGCTTTGTATTGAGCAATATGATGGAGTTATGGCAGCCCTCCCAAACAGCAATCACAGTCGCTTTTTTATATTACCAAATGAATAAAATTATTTTATTTAAAAAAAAAACTGGGAGTCATAAAGCATATGCAGACTATCTTAGGTTTAATAACTTGTATCTTCAGATCAACCACTTTGGAGAATTTTTTTCTAATCAGCATGAGCAATATGCTGACTAGAAACGGAGGGCACCATTTTGATTCTGGATAAAGTATCTTCATAGAATCAATACCAAACTGAATGGTACAGTATAGTTCTTTTGACAATACTAAGCACTTTTTTTGTTTTGGAACTTGAAATTATCCTCTAATCTCTTACAGGAAATGAAAACTGTATAGAGGTACTGCTGGAACATAAAGCTTTTTGCAACTTTAATGGAAACTCTTTTTCTCCATTGCACTGTGCGGTGTAAGTAGAAATAACAATCAATTTCACTTCCTATAGCATAGGCTGTGTGCCAAGCTAAGCTGGAATTTAAAAAAATAATAAAGCTTTGAGATAATGCTATTTTTATAATATTAGTCCCCAATCCAAACATGCACACAGCAGTTAAAATGCCTTCTCAGCAAATTTCTATAATAGGAAATGAACCGTTTTCATTATAATTTATGTAGTTTTGATTGCCAGTTTTTCTGTACCATAAACCTTAATTTCAAATTGTGCTCGGAGGTGTTTAATAAAAGCAAAAGTAAAGATGGGGTCGACCTGAACTGAACATTAATGAGACATGGTCATAATTATTTTCATTTTTTGCCTGTAGTACAAAAGTGGTTGGCCATTACTTTAAGGCTAATATCTATAGCCTATAGTACAATATACTCTGTTGATCACTCATCCAAGTATTAAATGGGCACATTCAAAAACAGGAAAAAGTCTTGGGACACTTTGATCATTAATATATTTATTACAGAAACTTTTGGAGTTAACTCATTATTCCTGAGGGATGTTTGATTACTGGAAATAAATTGGAGAAGACCTACTTAGTGACAATGAGTTTGCATAGTGATACTATGTTAAGAGCTCCCACTCTCTCTTTAATCAATGCCTGGGGATGTTATTATCCTTAATAATACTGATGTAGTCAAAGTAAAAATGGGGACAGAGTATTTAGCTCCCTTGTCTGTATTATTGTGGCTTTGTCTGTTATTGCTGCTAAGTAGCTATGAAAGCAGCATCCCAGAGTGGCAGAGTTACGTGAACAGGAAAGCTATAATAAGAAACAAATTAAAATATATATTACCTTGCTTTAAATGAATATCTTTTAAGGAAGTCATTTCACACATTTCTATTAAAAATTATAGAAGGTCTGTATACTGTATGTAATATGTATAAAGGTTAAAGTGAATGTACAAAGGAAGAAGTGGAAACTGTCCTCATTCATGTTTTGATTCCCCTTCTGATTCCATATTCATTTATTGTAATTCCTGAAAAAGCCAATGGAGTGTGATTTGTGTGCATTAGTGGTTCCTTGTTCATGCATGTGAACATATAGGCAGTTCTAAGGAGAATAATATGTAAAGATCAGTTAACCAGTCATGATTTATACATTATACACGTACTGTGCAGACTGTGCTATGGACAAAGCTATAAATCTAAGGCTACCAAAATTCTGAACTGAAGTGTAATGATAAGCCTGTATTGAAAATAAACCCAGAGAAATCCAGTTAAAGTATGAAATAAATTACATTGAATTAAATAGTATCCTTCCTTAACAGAATAAATGATCATGAAAATTGTGCTTCACTACTCATTGGGGCATTTGGTGCTGGCATTGTTAATTGCAAAGATGAAAAAGGAAGGTAAGAATTACTTTGATGAAGTGTTATGCAGTCTATTACCTTGTTTTATTCATTAAATTTCTATGCTGCCCATCTCACTGATATAGCGATGCTGTCTGGCTTATAATAAAAATTTAAAAAGTGCTAGAAAACAATTAAAATCAGAAAAATTGAATAGAAAAACTAAAAATCATGATGATGGGCGCCTTGTGGTGAGGATCTTTTCTGTCCAGTCAGCCACCTGCAATGTAGCAGGCCCCTATTGGAGCCTTAGGCCAAGTAGCAGAGCCAAGGTTTTAGGCTCTACCAGAAGGCCAAGAATGTGGGCAGAGACCTCACCTCTAATATATAATTCTCACCTCTAATATATAAATGTATATAATGAATTATAGTTCCATTTAAAAATGGAGACAGTGGTTTGTATTCATTTATTAATGGAAAATCATTTCATATGCCAGTAAAATGGAACGAAAAAACAATTTAAAAATGTTTCCTCCTTATTGAGCACCCCGTGGCCCACTTACCTCACCCAATTGTCCAAAAGAGGATTGCTAGAAGAAATAAAAGAAAGTCTAGTTCCACTAATAAAGATTTTCACCAAGTCATAGATACTTGCTTCAGTGAAGAAATACCAAACTGATTGTATCTGATGGGTTGAAATATAACTAGTGAACCCTTAAAAAGCTGGGGTTACTAATTTCATAGATGAAGAGAGGGGAGGGGAGAGGAGAGGAGAGGAGAAAAGAGAAGAGAAGAGAAGAGAAGAGAAGAGAAGAGAAGAGAAGAGAAGAGAAGAGTTTATTGGCCAAGTGTGATTGGACACACAAGGAATTTGTCTCCGGGCATAAGCTCTCAATCAAACAACAAAGTGATAGGTCACAGATCATAAATCATAGTTACAATAATTAATCATAAGATACAAACAACAAGTAGTAAATCATAAGATACCAATAGAAGAAGATAGTAGGATAGATGAGAAGATGAGAAAGAATGAGAAATGAAAAAGATGAGAAGATGAGAAGGATAACAGCAATACAGCCTACTACATGGGTAAAATATCTTTAGGCCTAAGACAGTGCTGTGGGAATTAGCAGAGTGATGGCATGGTGATACTGTTGATAATTAGTGCTGAACTCAGCTAAAACCAAATATTGATTGCCTTAATAAAGAAATCTTCACAGAACTTTTGTAACAAAGCTTTGTCAGTTGTGGCTCCTCGCCTTTTATTTTATAAGCTTTACACTTGTCTCCTTTTAAGTAATTATTAAACCCTATCCATTTTCTTTAAGATTTGAAGGAATCAGATTTGTGTTGCTATTGAGCATCCCTGGTTTTTTGTGGCTTTTGTTCTGTGTTGAATTTTGTTTTACCTATGAATATTACTTTATTTTAAATGATAATATATTTTGTCCTGAAATATTAGATTAAGAGATGGATTAGAAATAAAGATAAATGATAGAAATAATAAATCACTCAAGTAGCCAAATGTTTCTATGTTCCATTTTTTCCTAGAACTCCACTTCATGCAGCAGCCTTTGCTGATCACATGGAATGCTTGCAGCTACTTTTAAGTCACAATGCACAAGTAAATGCTGCAGATAATTCAGGGAAAACTCCACTTACCATCGCTGCTGAAAAGGGGCATGTAGGGACTGTAGGTAAGGAATTGCTTCCTAGGAACTGAACAAAACTGATATCATTATATATCTTTATTGCTTCTGTGTATGATGTCTGCAGATCTTGCTATCTCTCTCTCTTTTTAGGATCTCCTTAACTCCATCCAGCTATATCTTTCTCCATTTTCTCCTTCCTTTCATATCATTCCAATATCTATTTCTTTAGATATTTGGTTTGCAATTCAGTTTTATTAATTTTTTCTATATGACCAGTCCATTCAATGTATTTTCATACTGGCCATTCACTTTTGTATTCAGTCCACATTCATTTATCCAGCACCCATTTATTGTAGACTACCTCTTCTGGTTTTATCTCCTATATTTTCAACAAATATTCCTTGCAATATATTTATATCAGCAGTTGCACATCTTAAAATTCCCCATCCATTTACCTGTCTTTAATAAATATGCTATCCTTTTAAAGAGAAACTTTTATATAATCTATTCATATAATGTCATTCTTAAATAAAGTTTTAATTATTCATTATCAACTGGTCCTCTGAGTAATGTAAAATATAAAATTTCCATCATTTGTACTATGCTACCAGGAAAGAGCATATGAGGGAACACATCAGCAGTATAAGAACTTGTTACTTTATTATTTGGGAATAGTAGCAATGAAATGTTAAACAGTCATTTAAAGCCTGGTTATCTCTAGTCTGGACTACTGCAATGCACTCTACGTGGGGCTACCCCTGAAGAGCATTCAGAAGCTTCAACTGGTGCAGAGTGCAGCAGCAGCAGCATGGGCAGTTCTTGGCGCTCCAAGAGCTGCACTATCTGCTGGTTCGCTTCTGGGTACAATTCAAGGTGTCGCTTATCACCTTTAAAGCCCTGCATGGCACAGGTCCAGGTTATTGAGGAACTGTCTCACTCCACTGAGACTGGCCTGCCCCATCCGCATCAGCATGCTGCAGGCCCCATCAGTCAAGGAATTCCAGCTGATGGGGTCTGGGAGAAGAGCCTTCTCTGCTGTGGCTCCTGTCCTTTGGACCATCTTATCCCCTAGGTTGAGATCGGCTCCCATCCTTCTGACTTTTGCAAAGCCTGAAGACCTGGCTGTGCCAGATGACTTGGTGTACCAGACGACTTGGACATCCCACCTCTTCCGCTGCGCAACCTGTTCCCTCCCTTCCCAACTTTTAACTAAAATTTTATTTTTCATTGTAATTTCCATAGTTATTATTATGGAAATATTTATCTTTTGTGACTTTAATGCTTTTAATGCTGTAAGTCTCCCAGAGTCACTTTGAAATGAGATGGGTGACAAATAAATTTAATTAATTAATTAAATGAATAAATAAATGTATCTCTAAAGCAATGTTGAAGAAATTATGTCACATATAAATTGTTTACCATACAGGCTGATGGATGTTCAGAATTCAGAAAACATAAAATATGGAATAAAAAATTGATTGTCTGAGCAACTGAATTTATAAGCTGCCCCATTCCAGATGACTTTGGACAGCTTTACAAAATTCAAACAACAGTACCAAATAACCATAGCAATAGAAGTAGTGATCAAAACCCTCCATCCATATTCCTCATAACACCCGGAGCCCATTCATCCTTCTAACCCAAGGTGATACCCTGGAACAAACATGACCCAGACAATATCATTCACCATTTGTGATCCTACCTTTTCTACAGTTTCTTCCAGCATTTTTCATGTTACAGAAAATCAATTAAGAAGGAAAATGTAGAATAGTTGCACTATGCTTTTTGAATAGTAACACTAAAAGCCCTTTGGGGAGAAAAACATTGCTTTATGTTGCTACTTTATTGCATTTTGTTTTCATCTCTTTTATCACAGTTTTATTTTTCTTACTAATTTATTATGTAAACTTGATCTGAAGAGTCTGAAGATAGTTGAACTGATGTTATGTATGTAAACTTATGAAATATTTTGTTTCTTTGGTATTTTAGATTTTTTGGTGAACAGTGCTAAGGCTGATTTAACCTTGATGGATAATGACTTGAATACGTCATTGCACTTGGCTAGCAGTAAAGTATGTTTAAAATTTGCTTGCTCTTTGTTAGTTCTGAGAATTTCTAATTTCAGTATGAACCCATAACCCAAGATAGTTTTCCCATATATATCAGCTCCTGTGAGTCTTCACTATTATATTCGTAAGGGAAATAATCCTGTAGACCAGTGAGCAATAATCTGTCTCATCCTAGGGAACTCCTGTTCTTTGATCTTACAGTTTTATGATTATGATTTTATAGTTATTTGTTTTATTGTTGTGAGTTGTGTTTAAGATGGGTGCCAAAAGAAATCTTTTAAATAAGATCAAGTAAGGTAAAGTGAATTGTTTTTTTAAAAAAAGCTTTATAGCAGTCTTTTTCCAATCCTTGGATTTTCTTTCAGTCAATTATTACTAAGCCAAACAATCAATAGTAGGAATGGTGATAGAGGAAGCTTACAGAACAAGGAAAACTCTCTAAACCAGTGGTTCTCAACCTGTGGGTCGGGACCCCATTTGGGGTCGATTGACCATTTCATGGGGGTCGCCAAGCAAGGCTGTCCACCATTTTTTTTTGTCCGCCATTTTTTTCCCCTTTTCCGGCGGGTGCCTTACCTCCCTTGGGCTGGGCCAGCTGGTGGTCGGCCTGCTCCGTCTCTGCCGCTTGCCAGCTACGCCTCGGCCGGCGCAGGGGGTGGAACCACACATGTGCGGTGCTCCCGGGCAGGGAAAGTCCTCGACTTACGACCGGTTGGGTAGTCCTCGACTTACGACCGGTTTAGTCCTCGACTTACGACCGGTTTAGTCCTCGATGTACGACCGGTTTAGTCCTCGACTTACGACCGGTTGGGGTCGCGGCATTAAAAAGGTTGAGAACCACTGCTCTAAACCTGAAGAACAATTGACGTCACTTTTTCTTTTGCTTGAATATCATGACTTGCTATAACTGATTGTATTCCCCCCCCCATCTGCAGTGTGATGGCTTTGGCTAAGTAGAAAACAAGAGGCAGGTGACTAAGATATAGGCAATAACAACGTGCATTTAGGAAACTTGGATGTTAGGTTGCCTTTCAGCATTTTTAATTCCTTCTACTGTAGAATTTGTAGCTTGTTTGTCTCCCCAACCCTGCAGTACATCACTTGGGGGGGGGGGCTACAAGCTACAAGTTCTATCAGTAGAAAGAATGAAAAGTACCAATAAACTAACAAATACATTTCAATCAAAGCATCTTGTTCTTTCAGCTCAACGCACCATGGTTTTCATATGGAAATCTCTGTTCTCACATCTGCTAGACTTCCTTAAAAACTAACCAAGATCAGATTAAAAAAAACATATGTTTTCTAGAATGTTCCAAATATAGTTAGATATTGTGTATGTGTGTTTGTTTTCCAGGGTCATGAAAAATGTGCCTTGTTGATACTTGACAAGATACAAGAACCGAGCCTTATTAATGCAAAAAACAATGCATTGCAAACGTAAGTATATTAATTAACGTGTATTTTTTTAACAATTTTGATAACATCAAAGTGTCATATAATTTATATTTGTGCATTTTGAAAACAGAATTCACATAGCGTTTTAATGTAGTTAAGCACTGTACATAATATTATAGTAGACCTTTTGAAACAAACTGTGCATAATATTATAGTAGACCTTTTGAAATACATCAAACCTACTGAATCTAGATATTACATTTTCTAGACCTCTTCATATTGCTGCACAGAATGGCTTGAAGATGGTAGTTGAGGAATTGTTAGCAAAGGGGGCATGTGTACAGGCAGTAGATGAAAATGGTAAGTGAAGATATTCATATTATCATTTATGAACAATAAATGAAGAATATATGAATATGTTTTCTGAAATATTTTAAGCTTGCTGACAGTGGTTATTAATTTCCAAATTGTAAAAATAGAATTTGTGTTATCACAAACAGTTTTGTTTAAACTATTATATAAAAACAACTCCCATTATTATTTCATTTGAAGTATTTTGTTGACTATACCTTATGTAAAATAACAAAATTTAGAATTTTCTAATTTCATAAAGACATCAGAACTCTGATAAGGAAGAGGGCTGCATTTTAAATGTATTAATGCATTCATTTTATAGAAGAATGCAAAGCCTATAACATAATTTTTAACTGTATCCTGATTCTTTCTGAAGCCATATTTCCTGTTCTGATCACAATAAGTCACTGCTATTGTGTGGCCTTGGGTGAAATATAATGAATAATAAAATAAATATAATATAATGAATAATATTTAGGCAAATCACTTTTCATTTTGAATTTACATATACTATTGCAACTGACATATCTGATCATTAGATGGTAATCTTCTAGGAAAAGTACACCAATCTCTAATCAACTATATCTCAATCAGGATCTTATGTACTTGGCTTTGTAGACTCTGAGTGCTTTGGATGAAGGTTTCTCATAAATTATTCCTACACTAAATTACAAATCATTGAGAGAAGTTTAAATTCCATTTGGCATGTACTGTCATGTTTGAAAGGAGATTTATATTAAATATGCCAAATGTTTATATGGATGTATGAAAGTCTTAAGCATATACTTAATATAGCTTTTAGGATTTTGGCCTTGGAGAGCTACATATTAATCATATTAACCATATTCTTAATTAAATATTGGCCAGATATTGCACACTTGGAAGTAAAATACTAACTAGAATCCAAAGATAGGCATTGGTCTTTTGAAGAAAAGTTATATCAAAAAATACTGGCATGTTTTTATGAAGTCATTGACTGCTTCTTTCTGTACTTATTAAAGAAGAGATATTTTTCTTAATATCCAAAAAGTCCATAAAATTCTAAAGACATTTCATAGGGGAAGGAAGGCCCATTACTTTATGTATTTTTTATTAAAAATGCAAAGCTAGTTCTTAAATAATTTTGAATTGTATGATGGCAGTTAAACTTATAACTTTTTTTAATAAGAACAAAGGACTGAAATAAGATACACCCACACAAACATATACACACAAACACGAACCAATCTTCTTTCTCAGTTTTTGGAGGAGTCATTTTTCCCAATTCTGTGAAATTTTGAAAAAGACATGAGTAGTTTCAATCTGTGACAATTCATTTAATGAAGGCAACTGGAAGTGCTGACATTTCTGTCCTTAAGCAGCATGGTCAGGTGATATTGCATTTACGACTGTTGCTTTGTGATGGAAATTCTGGTCCCAGTTACCATTGTTAAGTGAGACTACCTTGTAAAAAAGTACTTTTATAAAATTACACACTCCACCAGTGGTTTGCTGATAAATGCATAATAAATACCGCCGCTGATACTAATTGAAGGGCAAAAGTCCCTAGATCCAATATACAAGTGAAAAGCCAAATTTATTGAACTTCGCAGGGGACAGAATACAAAGTTCTGCCCACTAACAGGAGGAAAGGCAAACACTTACATAGAGATTTTTATAATAGTACTCCCAGCAATTCTTCATTACTGGCCCTGATTCAGTTTATTCAGAAAGCTTTGAATAACATTCAAGAGTCAACTTCCTTATTTCAGTAACCATTCCTAGAGGTTGCACTTTCAGTCAATGAGTAACCTATTTGTAAGTTTGTGAGCTTTAAAGGAATTTATTAAGCATTATAATCATCCAAAACCATTGTGTAGGACAGGCTGATTTAGCAAGACCTAAATCAAAAAAACTCCAGCTAGATTGGGTAGTTGCAAAGAGTTGGCATCCAGGCTATTTTCACAATTTTGAGATCATGTTACTGTATAATACTGGCTTATATTGTCTAGCTACCCCAGTAGTTAACATCTCTCAAAGCCTCAAAGGCAAAATGGTTGGGAAAGGCTTAGCAAGCAGGTGGTAGACAACCCGAATAAGATATATTTTCCAGTAGACATTATGCATGCACATTTGTTGCTCTAATTATGTGATACACTACATATACTGTATCACTACATATCTAGTGCTGCAGCTGCTGCTCTTGCTGGAAGGTTGCAGAGCAGTAGTAACTGGTGCACAAAAGAGGATATGCTAATGACTTCCCTGAATCCCCTAAGTTAGCTTATCGCCTTCTCTGGTAATGAATGTTGTCGTACCAGTTTCAAAGTAAAGTTCAACTACCTTTCCAGTTAACATTCTACATGAAATAGGGTATGGCACTGTGTCCTTCATTTCCATTGGAAAATGGTTTTGAGCCATTTATTTATCTAGATATAGTATTTGAATTAGAATGAAACTGTAATTGCACCTGTATGGCTTCAGATCTATTCTGAAGCTTCCATTTATTTTCATAGCAGATAGAAAACACCCATTAAATATCTTACTGCTGCATGGAAGTCCATATTCTAAATAAATTATTACTATAAGTGCAAAGGGTATCCATATCAATTTCCATATTAAGTGTGTGTGTATAAAAGGCAATCCACTAATAGTAGAGGTATGGGGTGGGAGGTTCAGCAAATACATAGTTTATGAACATCTCTTACACTTTCACAGCATGTTGATGGTTTGCTAAATGCTATGATTATTTTTTAATATTATGACTCAAATAGACAATCTAGCATTTAGTGCACCACAATAATTATTGGGATATTGACTGTAGATTGCCCATAGTATTTGTGTTTAGTCTTCATTCATTGAGTTAGTGAAATGGAATGAACCTATTCTCCCCCGGGGCTGAGTATTCTTCCCATTTCCTGTCTAGCAACAAGGACTTCTGAAAAGTTCATCTGCTTCAGCAAGTGTCGTTTTAACTAATACTAAACATTGCTTTGGAAAGCCATATTTAACCAAGAACAGAAGTGGAAAAAAATTATTTCAATTTCCTGAATATATGGGAAGACCTAACTGGGAAACTAGTCTCATTTGCACTGTGTTTAAACTAAGGAAAGTATTGCCAGAAATACAGAAAAAAAATACCAGTGTCTTTTTCTATGGATTATTGTTGTTGCTGTTGTTAATACTTTATTTCTCTTATCTGTGGAAAGATATCAAGCTTCCTTCTCATTGCACAGTGCAAGATAACTTATGAACAGGCTTTTTTAAAAGACACCTGTGTGTATGTGCATGTATGTGTGTGTGTTGACATCCAATTTCTGTGATGCTATTTGTCATGGGATATCCAACAAGCTTCCCTGATATTCTGGAAACATACAAGCAGAAAGAAAGAAGTTGCCATTTTCTTAAGATGCCACCTGCTTTTCACTTTCCCTATGAGAGAAGATTTCTCTATCTCAATAGCCAGTATATAGTAAAGAGCACATTGCTTGTCCTACAGAGAGACTCAGCTGTCACATTTTAATAAACATGATTGAATTTAGCTAAAATTAAACATTTGGATTATTTATAGCTTGCCAATATTTAGTTTTCTAATAGAAAATGTTGCAGAATTAATCATCCATTATAATAATGCTAATCAGATTGTTATTTTTGTAAAATACAATAATCTGTATTATTAATTTGTTTTCTTAAATATTACATAGTTTCTTTTGAGTGAAAGCCATTGCTCTTAGAATAACTCTTTTATGAACTTCTATCTTGTGATTAAGTCTAACAGTGTCTTGGCTCATATTGATTCACATTGTCCTCCAGGACCATGGTCTACCTGTTTTAATTTCATTTTGTGGAGATTTTAAGTTGCCTTTTGCTTTTTATTAAATAATGCTTGTTATGAGAACCACTTTGTGAATTACGTACCTTCCCAGCATGTCTAATTTTAAAAGTAACCCTGGCTTTGTCTGCTGTGATGGTGACTAAACATACATCTCCTAGCTATGATCTCATCTGGAGATGTATCCAAGGAATGCTCAGATCTTTTCCTAGTTCCCTTAGTACTAACCATGGCTTTGTCTGCATTTGTGCCCAGGTCATACACCAGCCCTGGCTTGCGCTCCTAACAAAGACGTGGCTGACTGCCTGGCACTCATTTTGGCTACCATGATGCCTTTTTCTCCTTCCAGTACAATGACGCCACTCAACTTCGTTTCTTTTAAAAAAGACCATTTGAGCAGGACTCTTCTCTGCAATAGCTCCAATATGAGCAACACTCTTAACTCATATAGTAAAACCTTAATGAATGATGAAGGAGCAGAAAATGGATACAATGACAATGATTCTGATTCTGAAACATTTTGACTTTTTAACATTCAGTGCCCCTTTCTTGATTGCATTTGCATTTAATCTGAAATTTTCTTTAGAAACACCCGAATTCCTGATTTTCACCTGACCTTCATTTATGAATGAGAACAGCAAAGAGTAAAATTTGCAATTAAATAGAGCCTTTTAGAAAATTTAAGGATTTTTTTTTTTAAAAAAATGCACTCTAATTAATGTTTTGCTTCCGGCACTACTGTGCTTTCCATAAATTCTAAGGGCTCTTCTGGAAGTCTCTACCTCCTATTATATGCAGAAAAAAGAAGCTGCCTTTTTCTGTTTTGACAGCACAAGTAAACAGGGAACTGTTATGTTTATATTAATATGTTAGCTATATTATATTGCTGATATAAAGTCATTTTTCAAGTAGGGTGTTCTGGATTGTCAGAAGACCTTTCCATCTCTAGTATCTCTTGTATAGATATATAGTCTTCATTTTTTAGGTATCTTTGTTATAAAAACCAAAGGTAAAGCCACAAATTTTGATTTGGGTTTGAACAAATACTGCCAATATCACCATTTTCTGTGGCAAGTCAGACTTCTAAATTCATCACAGTAATACCCAATAGGTGTTTTTAGAACAATTGAAATTTGCTGCTTCCATTTGCAATTTAAAATCATTAGGATCAAATCTTGTTTGCCTCAGTCACAACATACCCACCTGCAGCTGCAACAAAGAGATTAGTGTAAGGGCAGATGAGATTTGCCTTATTTTTGTTACCATTCAGCACAAGCATGCGTGATTTATTTGCACTCTCCAAGTAGGGATCCTTGGGAACTTGTCTTACCTGTGCTGTCCAGCAATTACTTGTTTTAGGAAAAACCGGTTCTAAATATAATGCCTAATGCACCTAAATGTTTCACCCTGCTCATTTGAATTGACTTTTTGTTATCTTTATGTGTAATGTGATTTTTATCATAAGCATTGTCTGACTTTTTTGGAAAGTATACAACGAGATAGATTGCAGTCCTTCATATTTACCATTGCTGTGCTAAGATGCAAACAGGAGACAAAACCAAAACATAAAGTGGAAAAGTTAAGTAATCATACAAAAGGGAACTAGTTTGTACTAAAACAGTCCTGCTGGCATCAGTTTACTTTTTAAACATTTGCATTATGAATATCTACTCCTTCTGCCAAAGCTTCTAGGTCGAACGGACCCTTTTCCTCGCCTGAGAAAGGTGTACAGAAAGAAGAGTGAGACTCTTAAAATATAAAGAACTAACCAGCTATACCATGAGGACCAAAAGGCTTCAGAAGACTTTATTATTTTTTTAATAATGCAAGGAAAAAAACAAGTAACTTTTCTAATCACAAATGCACAAATAGTGTTTTCTGTAATTAAGAGTCTTGGGTTATTTCTAGTAGATACTTTGACATTTGTAACCGATGATGATGTGTTGATCACAGTTTATTTTTCCAGACCAATGTTCGTACTTGTAATGTTAAATGTGTTTATATTTATTTGAAATGAAACAAGTGCCCAGAAAAATTGACCATGGTTTGTCCTCCTTCTTAATTCTATAATGTGTTATTAGCTATGAATTTAAGCAAATTTAGTGTGCTGAGTTTGATGGAACAAATGCACATAGTTATTATTTTCAGCTCTTATATAGCCAATTGGGAATAGCTTCAAAAGCCAAGTGCTGTTCATGCACATTTTATCAAACGCAGTGGAGGAGTACATTGCACAATATCTGTTGGCAGAGCAAAGGGGAACATATAAAGAAAAAAAAGTGTGATTTAGTCTTTAAAAGGGGTTGAAAATTTGTCAAAGTTCAAAAGGAGAATTGTAGAATAAAGAGGAAAGTGTCCTTCCTCGTTTATGGAAGCAAAATACATTTTTTACCTGAAACACAAGCAGTAGCCTGCTGCTTTGTTATCTATTCTACACAGGTATTTGAAATAATTTAATATAACCACTCATTGCTATATATCGAAGTATGTTAGAGACAGAATATGTGAATTTATTCTTGGATGATCAGTAAAATGTAACAAACAGCAGCACAACAGTTTCGCTCTGCTTGTATAAACAAGATTTGCCAGAAAAGCTTCCATCTTGAAACTGCACCTTCCTCTAAGTCAAATGTATTTTCATTCTGGACTGTATGTTGCAAAAAATAGACAGAAATAGACATCTTGCATTGTAATGGAATTTGCAAATATTTCCACTTTGAAACAGCTGTTTCTGCACAACATTGTTCTGATTTCACTGAAAGTGTTCTGTTGCTGTACTGTACCAGTATTTGAAGAAATGTTACAAATTCAAAATGCTTTGTACATATCTAAAATGTAATCCTTGTAGGAGACCCTTTATTTTCAGACAGGTGACAATGTTCCTCAGATTTCAGCCATTTTGTAGTTACACTCACACACAAAAATGCCTGAGATGAAAAGGTATCATTAAAACTGACCGAAACTCTCAGTTGTTTCTTTTTTTTAACCCCCAGCCAGTGTATCTATTGAGAGAAAAAATTCCCAGCAAATACTGCTGTGACAGATATGATATCTGCCAAATTTCTTTCTCAACCCCCACCAAAAGAAAAACTACGATCAGAAGTACTCCCATAAATCAATTGATCTTTCTGCCACATGGCTGTTGTTTTTTTTGTCCCAACTACTGATTAACATATTAGCAGTTAATTTTTCTCTCACCATATAAATAAGCACAAAGTTATGCACTTCTTTTCTAGGAACATTTACTACCCCAAGCTCTATTTGAATGAATTAGGGTAATGAAATATTCTCCAGTTGTTTTTCAATTTGATCCATGATAATTAACAAAATTCTCCATCATGACACACACTTTCAACCAGGTCTTAGAAAAGTTTTTCATACTACAATTTGCATTCTCTAGCAATGATAAAATAAAAAGAGACTATTTTTCTTAAGAATGCAAGTGTGTATAAATTGTCACAAACCTCTAAAACACAAAATGGTCATTATGAATTTTTAAGTAAAAGGCAATATTTATGCACATATTTTGAAATTGCAATATTAGCATATATGTATTTTTAAATGATATTTGTATGTTGACTAGGAACTATAATGTAAGAGGCCTCACTAGTTATTGCCTTGATTCCTATTAAATATGGAGGATGTTAAATCCTGTTATGAGTTTTAAGGTATTTATTAAATCCTGAGGACTACTGGGTGTTCCTTAAAACCCACAAATAAAGTTTTGCAATGAAACTATGGGTGTTTCCCAGCAGAAAGATCTTAATCATTTATAAAAAGTAGTTTTACAGCTTAGTTGATTTTGAAAAAAGAAAAGGAAATGAAGCAAGTGAGGAAAATATAGGAAGGTCACTCTGTTTTCTTGACTGTTCAGCAAAAATTTCACTTGGATATCTCCCAGGGCTGCACAAGTCACAAACTTTATTAATGAGCCAACAATTAGAATACTTTCATGTTATAGAACATAATAGCCCAGTTGTATGGCACTTCAGGAAGTGGGAGATTATTGTATGTTCTAAATGTGCTTTAAGAGGAGAAGGCTAATGTTGAGTCATTTCTGCTTGTTAAATTTTTTGGTTTCTTAAACTTTTTTTTTCCTCTCAGGATCTCTTCCCTCTTTTGAAAATCATGGAGGATTCCAAAAGAACTTTTGTCTGAATGGGTTATATTTATCAATCTTTACTATATTAAGAATTAAAATTGACACTCTCGCTTCTCATGATTGTTGATGGGATTTTAATATTATATTATTTTTTAACCTAGGTGGGCAAATAATTTTGATTTTATAAACTTGAGGAGACCCTCAGGATCACACTTTAATAAATTCTGCTATAGAAGAACTAAGAAAATTTTTATATGACGCTTCATGCCATGTTTGCATCGGGACAACACTCTATAATTTCACATTATAATTTTTGTTAGGTAGCTGAGCCAATAGATATCCAGCTCAGCTGCAGCTCAAGAGGATTCCCTAGTTTTCTAGTTTTCAGCAAGTTACATTAGATTTTGGGGACAGACTGTGTTCTTATTGGTGGGAACTCTCACCTCACATATTTCCATAACTCCTAAGCTGCCATAGCACTATCATGTCCTTCTGCCAGGCTTTAGTGTTGTAGAAATGTGGCTTTGCAGCTCCGGCTATAAAGGCCTTGCATTCTTGTGCATGTTTTCTCACAGTCTCTCTTTTTATGCTTTTCTAGAAAAAGAAAGTATGGAAGAAAATTGAGGGAATGTTATTTTTGGTACTTCTTTGTTGGTCCATTAGAAAGAAAGTTAATCAGCTCATGAGGGGTTTTCGGCAGCTAAAATTAGGATTATAACAGGTTGATGCCAGAATAATTCTGAGTTCATGGAATGGCAACAGTGGTTGTGTGGAGATGCCCTCATAGTTGTGAATCACACGGAGCCTACTTATCATCTATTAGCAATAGTTTGCTGTTGTGTTTCTTTTTTTCAAATAAGAAGCAATTTGGTTATAATGGTATAGCTATGAAGGAAAGCATGAAATAAACAGAATGACCAAAAAATGGATCACCAAACAATCAGGGAAATTAAACTACATTTACAAATCTATAAGTTTTCTCTCTTAATACTGTAATGTTTTATAACTGAAGTGAATTCTCTGGAACATTACTAAATATTAATTAAACATCACTTGAAACAAAGCACCAATGTTTCCATGTAGAATTGAGTAAAAACGTATCACTTTCTTCTTCCTTCTTCTTGGCTGATCATATCAAGTTAGTCACCATGAAATACACACGCATGCACACACACCACTGCAGCCTCCACAAAACCTCAGGAGAGTAGGGGCATACTGTGCAGAGCAAGTTTGGGGAACAGAGGTCAAAGGACAGTCCACCATGCAAACAGAAATCTTCTACAACATTGGGATCATTCATAGTACAATCTTCTCACCCAAATGATTTAATAGTGACTTCTATAAATACATTTTTCAATATGTTACGCTAAAATCCTATGTAGAAATATAATAGGATATAGTTCTGAGTTCCTGAGTTCAGACCTCATTGTGTGTTTCTGTCCTATCAACAATCCCAGCCTACTGTCATGAAAAGACAATAGGGCTAAAATCCCTGGCTATACAAAATTTGTTTATCAATAGATCTGTATTCATTTGTAGTGCCATCTTCCCCAAAATTATGCTTACCTATCTCTTTTATATGTATTATTTTCATATAAAAGAGTAATAAAACCATCATAATTAAAATGGGAAAACTGTAATTAGTCTCACTGGAGTATGGATTCGATTCTAATCACTTTCTTATCTAAATGGCAATACGGTTAGTAGCAAATAAGGTACTGTATTTTAACTATAGTAATAAATGTCAGTTATGGCCTGTTTTGATTTGTTTCATTAGCTTTTGTCAAAAAATAAGCACTCTATTCTACTGAAATCAGTGGTGTTGATTGATAAAGATTGAGAAGCATGATCTAGAAGGTGAGTAATAACGCATGCACCTCTCTATAGTTACGATTCCGTGTTAGCAGCTTGTATTCCATTCATGTGAAACTTCAGCTGCCAGGTTACAATGCATGGCACTTACCCCTTGCTGATCTGTATTGTTTCAAGTGTTAAGATAAACTAGCTCAGGGGATATCTGTATCACTACTAAAAGGGCACCATGTTGTGTTTTGGTACTATTATAGCAAACCTTTGTATTTAACTATGAATTGAGTAAATTCAATTTCTTGTCTTCTTTGTTTAGAAACTTGATAATGCACTTGGGTTTCATAATGTAAGAAACTTTTAGAGTGCCTTTTTATATTTGTGTATGCTGGATATCTATTGTGAACATGTCTTTCCTTCATATGAGTCATACTGAAGCAATATAATACCTATATGTTTTCATTTCAAAGCTTTACGGCTTTGTCTTTTTTTAAATAAATCTATTTGTGTTGACATAAAATTAATATGCTAAATTTGTATAGGAATTTATACATTTTCTTATTACACAAAGCAAAACTTAAGTCAGTGTTATTGGGAAGGATGTTTTAAAATGGTGACAATCTTGAGTGTGTATTAAATGCAGCTATCTGTGTTTGTAATGCAGTGACATACATTTTAAAAAGCCAATATCTAATGTTTTGTAGTTTTGTCTGTATATTTTATGCTTTTAGCATGTGCAATATATCTTTACAAACCATGGTGTCATGAATCTGGTGCCAGTGTTACATTTTGTATGAAATATTTGTAATAAACAGTATGAAATATTGTTGGTTTGTTGCTAATTTTTTAAAAATGTAAACTGAATTTTAATTATCCAAAGTGTTAAATTACATGGTTGTAAAAATGGATATGAAATATTATTTTGAACCATAGACTGGGTGCATTCATGTTTAATATCCTTTCAACTACTGAATGCTGTATTAATTGTAATGGGCACTTTTAACTGCAAATTACAGTAATATTAAAATGCATTCAGATGGATTTTTTTTACAAATAAATGGTACAAATACCATACTCCAAATTCATTCATCTGTACTTTTACATACATTCAGATTTCTGAATACCTGTAAACAAAAAGAAATACATAACTGTAGAAAAAATACTAGTCAGTACAGCTTTCTGATATAATGCTTATATTAGAATATAATGCTTAAAATGCATTATAAAAACAGTACATACCTCAAACTGTAAAAACATAAAACAATGCATTTATGAATAGCATAAATGAGACTGATATATCCACCAAATCACACGAATGAAAAACTATACAAAATAATAAAATGGTACTCCAAAAGTTATCTATTCATCCAGGTATTAAAATAAAAATGTGTTCTTCTATAGCATGGGTATAACAAATATGCCTCTGGAGATCTTGAAAAACAGCATTTTCTATAAACTTCTATCAATTATCATACTAAGTTCAGTTGATTGGAAGTGTATGGTAAAGTTTGGAAGGCCCTGTTGCTTATTCTTGAAGGATCAGGCATGAATGGAGAAACGACTTTTAGAGAAGAATATAATTCCTTAGATGGCTCTCTTCTGCATTAAGTAAGATTCTTCCAGTTTAAATTATTTGCACTTCAGAGCTGTAACAGTTTTACTGCTAGCAATTAGAGCAACATGGTTGAATATGTGACAATTGGGAAACAAATTGCCTATTAATTGAAGAAGTGTGCCTATGTAAGCAGCCTTCATCCATCATTAAACTATAGAGTTGCATGAAACAGCTTTGGTAAATTTCATTCATAACATGTTTTTTCCCTCCATTCTATTAGAGAAAGGCATTTGTATGGATGTGGCCTGTTACTTATTTCCATGTCCAATAACTGCATAGGTAGTAAACTGTACAGAAACCAGAGCTGCGTATTGCAGTGTTCTCAAAATCAGTTATCCAGAAATAAGTCCCAAGTGAAAAGATTAACCACTGACAGTTATAAATCATTGTAGAAGAAGGCTGTAGGCGGGCCATCCATTATAAAACTGATTGCCTAAGGGTGAGA